GGGTGGGGCTTCCCTGGGTCTGCAGTGGCTGGGCCAAGGCTCCAGCTGAGGGTGAGGGTCACTGGTGGTGGGTGTCACAGCCCAGGGCAAAGAGGGAAGGAATCTGCAGGAGCAAGAGCCTAGGGAGAAGGGGAGCTGGGGCAGCAGGAGGAGGGAAGGACAGGGAGGAGAATGAGGAGGCCCCCAGGGAGGTAACGCCACCTAGTGGCCTGGCCCTGACACAGCGGGGGCACCAGGCTTGCCGTTGTAAGCTCACCCACAGCATCCTGCCCAGGGCACTGCGGGCACCCCATTCCTTTCAGGGGGCAACTGAGACCTCAAGGACCTCTGGAAAGGAGGCAGCCACCTCCCAGTGGGAGGGGCTGCCCGTGTGCCACCACTGCTTCCTGCTATCACAGAAATGAAGTATGTGGCTGCAAAACCAGTGACCTCATCATTCAGTTTTCTGTAGTCATTCTTCCTAAAATAAGCTCTTTTATAGAATTATATATTAAAAATAATGTGTGCTCATTAGCAATTAAGGAAATGCAAATCAAAACTGCACTGAGATTTCATCTCACACCAGTCAGCATGGCAGCCATCAAGATACGAATCATGCTAAACGCTGGAGAGGGCGTGGAGGAAAAGAATACTCTTTACACAGCCCCATGGATATCAGTAAGGAGATCCCTCAAAATAGGCAAGGACCCAGCTGGACCACTCCTCAGTGTTTACCCTGAAGAACTACAGTGATCACAATGCAGCGACACACGCACACCGTGTCTGTAGCAGCTCGATTCCCAAGAGCCAAACTGGGGACTCAGCCCCAGTGTCCATCAGCAGATAAGTGGATAAAGAAAATGTGGTATATATACACGTAGAGTTTTATTCAGCCGTAAGAAAAATGAAATCATGGCGTTTGCAGGAAAACCGATGAAACTAGACACCATCATGTTCAGTGAAATAAGTCAAACTCAGAAGGTCGAGGGTCATATGTTTTCTCTCTTAGGCAAAAGCTAGAGAGGAAAAAAAGGAAAGAAAGGTGGGGGTGGATCTCCTAAGAATCAAAGGGAGATCAGTAGGGCCGGAGGAGGGAAGGAGAGGGGATGTGGGGGGAGTGAGATTGGCCAAATGATGCTGTCTTATTGCATGCATATATGAGTAGGTGACACAAATCCCCTCAATATGTACAACTATGATTCACCAGTAAACATGTGAAAAAAATGATGTACACTTACTATACAGAACTTGGAAAATCCAAAAAAGTACGTAAGAGAACCTCAGCCCTATATATCACTGTGATTCTGGTGGTTCGAGATATACTGAAGGGCATGTCCCCTCCTCCCACAAGGCCACCTGGGCTTGTGTAATTGGGCTAATCAGTTGCTGCTTTGTTCAGCATCATAACATAAATATTTGCCCACATCTGGAATTTCTCCTATGGTAGCTACCCAAGAGAGCCTCAGCCTGCTTGGCCACTGCCTTGTTTGCAGTTTTGCATAACATACCCCTGCAGAGAGCACCTTCTTTCTTTACTTTTGTCTACATTTCAAATGTTTCACTTAGGATAATTCCCAGAAAGAGCCCTACTTCTTGTTTTTGAGAGAAGCATCATACTAATGGTTGCTTTTTAATTTTTTTCTTATTAACGGAGCTAAATATTTTTTCAGATGATTATTAGCCATTTCTATTTCCAGAGAGAGACCCAGCCAGACACCCCACAGGCCTCACTCTGTTTCCCAAATTCCCTCCATGCCCTCCCCATCCAAATGCCCCTGTTAGTTGGCATTCTGACAGGCTCCTCGGCCATCCTCAAGTGGGTCACCTGGAAGTGGGTCCCAGGCCTGTCTCTTAATGTAAGCAGACCAAGGTGGGAACAGGTGAGATGGGTCCCCGGGTCCCTCAGGATGAGAGATGGAGCGGGGACTTGAACCTAGGCCGTGGGCAGCAGGGCCCAGGCCCACACACTCGGTATGAGGGCCAGCGGGGGGTTGTGGGCACAGCGGCAGCCTTGGGTTTCCCCAGAGCAGGTGGCGCACCTGTGGACGTGAGTGGGTACCATCTTGTCAACAAGTCCGCAGCCATGCACCGTGGTTCTGGAGCCTTGCGCTGGGACCTGGAGGCTTGGGAAACTCCCACCATAGAATTCAGGAACATTCCAAGCTGAATTTGCTTTGTGGCCCAGAATAACAATCCTAGCCAAAAAAGGGTAATTATTCAGTGACACGAGAACTGAAGATGCAGAGTCAAAGCCAGAGGACTTTTCAGGACTATTTTGGGTCTCGTCCAGGCTGTGTGCTTTAGAGCAGAATTTCCGCCCTGGGGGTGGGGGGGTGGAATTCTTTCATCTCATCTTTACTGACAGAACTCACAACAGTACTGAAAGCCTCAGCTGTCACTTTAGTATAAATAAACAGGATGAAGTGGGCAGCCACCCGCAGACTGGAGATATTTTTAGCGGTAGATGGCTTCACTCTACACCAACCCATCCAGGAGAGAGCGCCTGGTCCCGGAATAGCCTGCCACAGGCTCAGCTGTGGAGCCATGCATGGCGAGGTGGCTTCCAGAGTCGGGGCTCCTTCCTGCTCAGGTTGGCCAGCCCAGAGGCGCCCCCTCCTGTGGAGGTATCCCAGCTCCACTCCTCAGGCCACAGAGGACCGGCTCAGTGTTCTCAGTCATGTCACCAGAAACTGCCTGTGGGTTTGTGGATCCCAGGTGGGGACAGAGGACAGTCATTCAGACCAGTGTGTGCGTCAGTCTGACGGCCAGCTCCCAGGGTGGACTGGACTCCAGCAGCAGCACCTACACTCTGGAGCTTGTGGTGTCCAGGCACTGGGCACGCACTGAGTCACTGCTTCCTCACGAGACCCAGCCTGTCACAACTTCTGTGGCTTCTTCCACTTCTGTTTTCTACTTGAAGCATGAGTCCTCGCTCTCTGGGAAAGACCAGGCACCCCAATGCCAGCGAGCAGAGGGGATGGGACCAGTCCCCACTGTCTGCTAGTCCCTCCCTCCACGTGGCCACTCAGGGGCTGCAGGAGGCCCGTGCACCGGAGTTGCACCAGGAGGCCACTGGGGTGAGAGAGAAGCCCCGCAGCTCAGAGGCCACGTGATGGGCGGGGTAGAGGGGCTTGGATGCTGCGAGGCCCCCACTTTCCTCAGATGGCCCCCTAAAGCTCCCCTGGGGCCTCCCCGTATTTGCTGCACGGCCTTGCTCCAGTCACAAACTTTTCTAGGTTAAAAATCAGAAAAAAGTGACTTGACTTACCTTCCATGTTTGCCACTTCCAGAGCCCTTCACTTCTTTGAATGAATCTGAAACTTTCTGGTACAGTCTTTTGACTGAGTTCTGGGTTTTCTTTAACATTCCTATCAATAAACTCAGTTTCTTCTGAAAAAGTCTTTATTTCAACCTCCTATTTGGAAGGTATTTTGCTGAGTATAGGATTCTGTTTAAGGAAGTCTCCCGGCTTGCCCAGCCTCTGAGAAGAAGTCGGCTCTGACCCGTTTGGAGGACCCCCACCAACAACTCCCAGACTTCTTTCTCTGGTACAGGCCATGTGACTTTGATAATGTCTGGTGTTGCTGTGCTGTTTTTCGGGCCTGTTTGTGCTTCCCTAAACTTCTTGGGGGTATGATGTGATGTTTTTCCTTATTTGGGGGATAGTCTCAGCTGTTGTCTCACCAGATATTTCTTGTACTCCATTCGCTCCTCCCTCTGGGACAGATCTGCAGCAGACTTGGCATCATGTGTGGTGGTATGACGTTACCAAGGTTCTTGGATGCTCTGCTTTGGTTTGCAGCCCTTCTTCTTCTCTGTGTTTCCGTTTGGGTAATTTCTAGCAATCTATCTTCAATTTCACTGCCTCCTTCTGCTGATGAGCCCATAAGAAGGAAGCATCTCTGATATCCTGCTTTCTGTTTCTAGTGATTTTCTTTTACTTGTCTTAGAGTTTCCATCTCTGCTGAAATTCCCCACCCATTCACGCAATTGTCTACCTTTCTGCTAGACTCTTTAGCATACTAATCATTTTAAATTTCCTGCCTACATTAATCTGTTGTCGTTACTATAACAAAACACCTGAAGCAAGCTACTCCTGAAGAAAACAGGTTTATTTAGCCCACATTTTGGAGGCCAAAAGTCCAAAGAGCGTGGCATGGCCTCTGATGAGGCCCTCATGACAAATGGCAACCACAGGGGCATGTCCAGGTGCAAGAGATCCCATCCCCAGGCAGGAAGCTGGAGGCTGGCCAGAACGGAGCGGGCTTCTGTAGCCACCACCTGGCGAGGACCACATCACTCACTCCCGAGGACAGCCCATCACGACCTCAAGACCTCCTGCCAGGCTCTGCCTGTCTCCAACACCACCGCACTAGGGACCAGGCCAGTGGCCCCTGGGGACAGATCATATCCAAACCAAGCATTGTCTGACACTTGCCCCCCGGGTCATCTCCAAGTCTGATTCTGTTGATCATTTTTTCTCTTGGCAACACGTTGGTTTTTCTTTGCTCCTGAACAAAACCCTGAGTAATTTCCACTTGAATGCTGAGCGCCACCTGTGGAACAGAGGGGACAGGCAGATGTCACTGGCATCTGGAGATGGGCACACCCCTTCTGGTGGGCTGGTGGTGTGGGATTGGAGTCCATCTCCCCTGGAGCCATGCTGGGTTTGGGATTCTGTTGCTGCGGTTAACTTCGCTGCACCACGGGCCTCAAATCCTTGTGGGCACCCAGATCCTCACAGGAAGAAACTGGCTCAGTTACCCACCGTCACTGCCACTGCTGGGTGAGTGACTCAGCAGGGACCTGGCAGGCGGCCACGTCAGGGTGTGAACGGGTCCTACCACGGCACAGAGCCCACAGCCCCGGGTGCGGCGGGCGGCTCGTGTCCTCTGGTGGTGTGCCCAGCAGTCTGCTGGTGCAGGACCCTCACCTCCTAAAGCCAGGGCCACTGCCTCAGAGCCTGGGCTTCGGGACTGAGCCCAGCTGGGTGCCCTGATGGCCTCCTTTTGCCTCCACAGGAGCTACGGGGAGCTCACTGAGTGCACCAAGGCCGTGGCTGCGAACCTGGATTGCTTCTGGCCCAACACGGAGGTGGACAGGTTCTTCGTGGCGGTCCACCGCCACTACTTCAGGCTCTGCGCCATCTCCGGCAGGTCCGTGCAGGACCCAGCCAGGGGCATCCTCTGTCCCTTCATCGTGCTCCCCATCTTGGTGACCCTGCTTATGACGGCGCTGGTGGTCTGGAGGAGCAAGCGCACCGAGGGCATCGTGTAGGCGGCCTGGGCTGCCTGCCAAGCGTGGGAGGCTGGGGAGGGAGGGGAGCTCGGGGTGACCTCTTCGCACAAGAGGAGCCCACAGGGCTGGGCTGCGGCTCAGCGGTACAGCGCTCGCCTAGCACATGCAAGGTCCTGGGTTCCACCCTCAGCACCTCATAAAAGTAAATAAATAAAATAAAGATAAAAAAAAGAGGTGCCCACAGGACTTGAGAGTAATCGTGCTGGTGATTGACCTCGAGCCTCCGGGAGGGAAGAAGGGACAGGACTGACTTGTCCCTGGGAAGTGCCACGCTTGGGTCTCTAGCATGCATGCAACCCACAATGTCCCCGCCTGCATTCCAGGTCCCCCCCTTAGCTGTGTTTGTGTACATGTGTAGCTTCTGATTAAAAGGATCTTCTGAACTGAAGGAGTGTCCTTATTTCTGGACAGAAGTGACCTGTCCCTGGGATGAGAGCATGAGGAAGTCACTCTGGGCAGAGGCGTCTCCTCTGACAGGTGGGGTCTTCAGGGGCTCGTCACGGAGACGCTGTCTGAGGCTCCAGTGGCGGTGACGGTGCCATGTGGACACCACCCCACAGCCCCTGATTTTAGCATTGGAAATAATAAACACAACAACAGGAATAGAATAGTGTGTGCGTGAGCCAGGAGCAGGCGAGGGAGCTGTGTTCACAAACTCCTCGGCTTGTCTTCGTCCCATTCCACAGAAGAGGAAGAGTTGAAGTTGTTGCCTGACTTACCTAAGGGATCCTTTTCTCAAAAGTCCCCGAGAAACCCCACCATGCAGGGCAGATGAAGGCCAAGAGGGGCCCCGAAGTGGTGCCCCCCCAGCTTCTGACCTCACCTTGAACTCCCCACCCACCTGGCCACACTGGGAGGCCTGGGAAAGCAATGAGAGGTTTTGTGGGGTTTTTTGTTTGTCTGTTTGTTGGTTTTGGTACCCAGGAACTCAGAGGCACTCGACCACCGAGCCCTGTCCCCAGCCCTATTTTGCATTTCATTTAGAGACAGGGTCTCACTGAGTTGCTTAGTGCCTCACTGTTGCTGAGGCTGGCTTTGAACACGTGATCCACCTGCCTCGATCTCCCGAGCCACTGGGATTACAGGCGTGTGCCACTGTGCCCGGTGCAATGAGAGTTTTAATTTGAAGGAGAAGATTGACTTGCTTTATCTGTGTCCTGAGCTGAATAAATGGCCCCTTCTCCCCAGCTTCATTATGGAAATCTTAGGGGGAAAGTTGGCTGGAAGTCTAAGGATCCCAGACCAGCCCGGGAGCAGGGACTCAGCCTGGGACATGAAGCTGGCGTCTGCTGTGGCTCCCAGCGCTGCTCATTAACAAGCTCCGGGGATGGAATGCTCAGGCTTTCCTGGAAGCCAGAAGCAGCTCTGGATTGAGATAATCTTCAAAGAAAAGATGTCCCCAGGCGGGCCAGGAACAGCCTGGGCCTGCAGAGGAGCTGGGACCCAGAGCACTTCCCTCCTCTCAGAGCAGCCCTGGGCCCAGCTGTGAAATCTGCCTCTTGTCTTGAAAAAAGAAAATCTGCACCGTTGTCCTGAAGGACAAGTTAGAGAAATACGGACCCGAAAGTCTCCCGGTGCTTCTGCCCAGTCACTTCCCTTCTAGAAATGTGTCCCAAAGACATAATCAGAGATGTGCAAAGGACACGGGGTGGGGGGCCGATCTGTGGGGAGACATCCTTGGCCCCCGCTGAGGACAGCTGCTTAGATGAACTCCAGATGACCAGTTTCCTGAAGTGGAGCACATGGGGAATTTTCCTGTGGTCCGGAGGTCACTGGAAAAGACATTTCCAAACAGGGAGGTGAGATGGTCTCCGTGTTGTGTGTTACACAGTCCCATGCCACGTCACCCTGGGGGAGAATGGCCTGACGTGACCCGAGAGATGGTAACAGCATGCCTTGGTGGGTGGGGGAGTCTGGATCTAGTCCCCATCCTGATTGCTGAACGTCACTTTCTGGTGACAGATGGCTCCTGGAGGCATCAGGAAGCCCGTGGCAGAGCAGGCCCTGAACACTGAAGACTCCTTCCCAGCTGTGTGACTTTGAGCAACCTCTTGATCACTCTGGCTCCCTGTGCATGGGGAGAGGTGGCCTCACCCAGGTTGTCCACCCTACCCCAGGGACGGCGTCTAAGCTCCTTCAAGAGCTGGCCACCGCCAGAGGAGCCACATGCTTGGGCGGGAGTAGGGAGAGGGTGGGGGAGCAGAGCCCGGGAGGCTGTAGGTGCTGTTCTCTGTGTGGGGGACGTAATTGCCCTTTGGTTCCCCTTAGAACAAAGGCAAGGAAAACGTACAATTCAGCATTTTCCAAGGCTGTCCGGGGAGGTGACCTGGGACCTGACTTTGGTTTTCCTTCCTGGGACACCGCGAGGCCGGTCTTTGCTCTGGTTACACATGTGCCCGGCAGAGGAATGCGGAAGGAGCAGCCTAAGGAGCTGTTTGCTGTTCAGCCTGCAAGTCATCCTTCTCGCTGGGCCTGGGGACGGCCAGGCAGGTGCCCCTCCCCCACCCATCTGAGCCCCTCCTGAGAGACACACTGGCAGGAGTCATCCGTGGGCCGCTTCAAGGGGTAGGAGGAGGGGATAGGGCCAGGAACTCCATTTCTGGATTAGAAACGTGGTCTGAGGAAGCAGCGGCAGGTACCAGGTCCAGCCACAAGGGTGGCAAGAAGATCCCCAAACAGCCAACAGCAGCCCAAGGAGGTGGATAGGAAGGTAAGGCTTTCAGACAGAAACATAAAGGAGCAGAAGAAATATGAACCACTGGGTACAGTGGACACACCTGTAATCCCAGCAACTCGGAAGGCTGAGGCAGGAGGACTGAGAGTTTGAGGCCAGCCTTAGCAACTTAGTGAGACCCTGTCTCAAAAAATTTAAAAAGGAGGCTGGGGTTGTGATTCAGCAGTAGAGTGCTCGCCTAGCACATGTGAAGACCTGCATTTGATCCTTAGCACCACATAAAAATAAATAAAATTAAGAAAAAAATTTAAAAAGGGCTGGGGACATGGGCTCACTGGTAGAGAGCTTGCCTTGCAAGCTTTCGAGGCCCTGGGTTCAATCCTCAGCACCTCAAAAAAATAAAATAAAGGTACTGTGTCCACGTAAAACTAAAAAAAAAAAATTATTTAAAAAAAAAAACAAAAAAAAAGAATTCTACGGTACCAGAGCTTCGGATTTCCCCCATGAATTCAGAGAGGACTTGGCCCATAACACAGCCCGCCTCCCCCACCCACCAAGGCTACTTTGGTGGTGTCCAGCTCGAAACTGCAGCCACCTGAAGCTGTTGTGGGACTAGAGTGTCCCAACTCGCCGTGGAGAACAGCACTGTGGCCAGAGGTGCTCCAGAAACACCGCACGGTGGGGTAAAAACCTGCTTCTCCCCAAAGTGCACCAGCCGCGCTCTGGCTGGGAAGTGGGAGGCCTGATGGGCCAGGGTGGGGGTGAGGGCCCAGAGGCGCTCTGCAGCTCATCCCAGGAAGTGGAGAACTCTCCGATGCCATGCTCCAGACAGGATAGTGCCCCCCTCCATCCTAGAAAGGAACAAAGAGATGAGGGCTGAGGGAAGAGGAAGAAAAGTATTTTTCTTGAGTGAACCGGGCAGCCCTGGGAGAGAGGAAGACTGCTCAGGCATGTGAGAGGGGCCCGTGGGGTCAGCCTGCTGCAGGCAGCAGAACGGGAGGGCAGGCGGCAGCTGGCCTGTTCCCAGGGCATGAGCTGTCCTTGGTCAGACACGCAGAGGCTAGGCAAAGAGAAGGCTACACAGGACCAGGGAGCCACCACCAAGGGTGGCATTCTTCACTGCTGCTCTCCTAGCTGCCCTCGGTGCGGAGGCCATGTCTGTTTTGCAGGTAGGGAGACTGAGGCACAGAGAGTCACCAGCACATTCCAGGTGTCCCTGGGCACGAGTACAGAGCTGAAGCCCTGAGTCCCAGTTCTCTCTCCCAGCCTGGCTGCCTCCCTGGCATAGGACCACGGAGTAAGGGCAGGGAGGCCGGCCGCCTCCTGCTGTGTGTGCCTTCAGTGTCTGCAACTCTGGGAACTGTAAGTCCAAGCAGGCTGGCCTGTACAGCAGCTGTGCCCACTCTGCCCAGGGGCCACCCTGTCCAGGGGTGCCCACCCCTGGGGGAAGCGCTGAAGAATGTGGCAGTCTCCTGCTTTCCCCCCACTCTCAGCAGAGCTCACTGAGAAGGGAGCACTGTGCAGCCTCACACCTGTGCAGAAGCCTTGCCTGTCCTTGCTGGAAGTCCCCGAGGGCTGATGACCCTGCAGCCAACAAGACAACTCGTGACTGAACGTGGGGAATACAAGCACAGGCAGCTTAGGGCGGGGTCTGTGGGTGTCCCCAGCTAGGATCCTCTCAGGCCAACACCATGCTGGCTGCAGTAGCCCCCAGGCCCCTGGCCTTCCACTCCTGCAGACCCTCTCTTAACCCAAGGCTGCCCACCCAGTCGTCCCTTCCATCCCCTTCCATCTCCCCAACCCTCCAATTTATTTATTTAAAGCAGACTTTCAAAACTGATACAAATGGAACCACGAATTCCTGGCGCGGGGCTTGGCTTCCTGTTGGAAGGGCCGTGGTTTTAGGGAGACCTGCTTTCTAGCTCTCAAGTCCTTTCCGGTCACATGCAGCTGGACATGATTTTCCAGATCAGGACGCAGATCAGACCCAGGCTGGCCCAGACAGTTCCCTGGGCCTGGGTGGGGCGTCGGCCTGGAGTTCAGAGGAGCCTAGAACAAAAACTGGGGTGCAGCCCCCTCTGCAGGACAGTGGGTGCGGTCAGGGGAGACACGCCGCGCAGGGCACTCGGCTTCCACTAGGGGCGCACGCGAGCCGGAGGCGCCACCGTGCGGAGCAGAGGATCAGCTGCGCTGCAGCCCTGCCCTCTGCTGCCCCAGGGCGCCCTCGCTCCGCGCTCGCTTACCCCCGCCCTCCTTTCTCCCTTTCCTTTCTCTTCCCTTCGATCTTTTTCTTTTTCCTTACTGAAGGCATATTTAGATACAACACAGAATGGCCAAAGAACTTCTCATGCTTAAAACGGCGCTCAGCACGTCGTATGGATTCAGAAAAGCACTTACTGGATTCATCAATTGTAATTAATAAGTCAGAGACCCACAACTTGGTCACTGAATCCTCCCTTGTCAGACATTTAATTTCTTGTTGCCTTCAAAATTCTGCATAAAAACAATTTCTTTTATCATAGAAGTATCCTATAAATTGTAGAAAATACAGGTACATGAAACAAAAGGTTTTACTTCCTACCACTCAGATAATTTTTAAATCTCCCAAACTTTATACTTAGCTACATAAATGATACATCAATAGATATATACATACGTAGAGATGGCCTAAAACACAAAAACGGCCTCATATTGTCTTCTAAAGAATTTTTCCA